ATGTGTTGTAATGTGAGGGTGGGACAGGGGCTCTGCCTGTCCTGAGCAGTTCTGCAGTCAGGCGGTGGCCTGCCTTCCTGGCTTTGCATTCAGGCCTGTGGGAAGGGGCAGTGTGTGTGCAGAGGGGGCCTGGGGCCCTCCGTCCTGCCTCAGGTGGGGGCCATGTAGGAAAGAGAGGGCCGAGGGGGACAGAGGCCTGCCTGCACTTAGGGCCACCGCAGATTCTGTGCCTGAGGAGCCAGAGAGGAGCCATGACAACCAGGAGAGTCTCTTTTCTGCAAGAAGCACCGGTGTCCTCTTTCCAGCAAGGATCCTGATGTTCTGGGGAAGAGCACTGGTGACCAGGCATGGTCCCCACCACTGTTGGCGGAGTACCCACTGTGCCACCTTAGTCAGACTTTCTGACACCAGCAAAGAGACCCCGTCAAGAAATTCTGATTCTTTCAAATTTTAGATCATCTTTATGTTGTATCACTGATGCCGCGGGGACATTCACTGGCCTCCTCTAAAAAGGTGTGGGGGTGTACATGCCTGAAATTCTAGTGACTTGGGAGGCTGATTCAGGAGGATGGAAAGTCTGAGGCCAGCCTCAGTAACTTAGCGAGACCTTAACTGAAAATGAAAAATAAAAAAAAAACAAAACAGGAAATGTAACTCAGTGGGAAAGTGCCCCTGGCTTCAAGTTCCAATTTAAAAACATTTTATTTTTTAGTTTTCGGTGGACACAACATCTTTATTTTATTTTTATGTGGTGCTGAGGATCAAACCCAGCGCCCTACACATGCCAGGTGAGTGTGCTACCGCTTGAGCCACATCCCCAGCCCAATATAAACATTTTTTTTTTTTTTAATGTGGGCATCAAAGTAACATTTTGTGTGGTGACAGGACAAAACCAAGCGTGCGAAAGCCCTGGGGACCCTGAAAAACCAGTACGCAGACTTCCCTTCCCCCAATTATTAATTTTGAGGATGACATTACAAATGTGAACTCAGCCCAGGGCCACAGCCCAAATAGAAAGGATGGTCACTAGCGAGCCACACTGCTCTCCTGTTCAGGACACAGAGTCTTGGCCATAGGTGTTCTGCTGGTATTTAAGGTACAGTGCCACTAGGTGGCAATGGTGTCCAGGCCATTGAGGCCTGGCCCTGAGAGGATACCCTAAGGACATTCTCAAATGTCCTTCCTTCTTATGCCTTGAGAGAGGTCTCTCTAAAGGACCCTCTTACCTCCATTTCCTCATCTGTAGAATGGGTTTAAGAGTACCGAATGCGATCATGTATGTCAAATCCTCCTGTGCATAGTAAGACCCTCCGCCCACGTTGGCTCCTTTCCTTCTGTGGGGTTAAGAGCATGTCCCTTGGAACCAGCCTGCCTGGCCTTGAATCCCGTTCCACTGCTTACCAGCTGTGTGACCTTGGGCAAGTCACCTAACCTCTCTGGCTTCAGTCTCCCTGTCTGTAACAGGGGGTTAGTAATCATGCTTATCCCCATAATTTACATGCAGAAAGCTTAGAAAGTGCCTTGTCCAGGGAAAGGGCTCTGTGTCTGCAAGTCTGTATGTCCTGGGGTGAACCCTCTCTTGAGTGTAGGCTAGGTCTGGGTCCTAAATCTGGGCACCTCCTAAGATTGAGGGTTCTGTCAAGGTGGTGTTTCTCCAGGGCATTTTAAACTCCCAGACATGAGTCAGAGGCAGAGAAAGCCACAATTCCAAGGCTCCTGCCACCCTGGTCTCCGGATTCAGGGCACAGCTGGCAACAGCCTGTGTCCACCAGGCAGGTGACGGAGCCTAATTTGCAAGTGCGAAGCCAGCTGGTGGGTGGATAAGGCGAGGGCAGAGGACCTGTAAGACTGTTTTTAAGTATTTTTATCAGTCAGGTGTGTCCTGCTCCCCTCTGTGCGTGCTGCCGAAAGCCAGCTCAGAAAATAAAACCCTGCGATGGGCATCAGGGCCAATCGCTCTCCTGCTCGGTCTTGCCCAACCTCCATGCAGGTTCGTGGGGGAGGCAGAAGAATCGGGTGACGACAGCACCTGACCAGAAGTCAGAAGATCTGTTTATAGCCCCAGCTCTGTCACTGGCGTGCTGTGTGACCTTGAATGAGTCACTTTCCCTCTCTGGGCTCCCAGAGTCCTGTTCTGCCAAAATTGGGACATGATCCCTGCCCTTCCTTTCCAACTGGAGGTGTGTTATAATAGAGAAATTCCTCAAAACCTTCCCTCCTCATTGAAACCTCCATGTGGGATGGAACAAAGAGAATCCAGATCCTCCCCGTCACCCTCCATCTCTCAGACATGCAGTATTAATTGCCAATCCATAATTCATTCATTGGTTTATTTATTTCACATGCTTGTTCGGTGCTGGTTTGTCCTTCTGTCTACATGTCCTTTGTGTCTTGTCAGCATCTGAAACTCCTCAGGGAGGCCTGGTGCAGAGTCCAAGGGAAGAGGCTCCTGCCCGTGGGAAGTTGGAGGTCATACTGGGAAGAAGGGACCCATGAGAACCGGGGTTGGTCAGATTTTAACGGGACTGAGAAAGGAGAGGTGTTGGGAGAGAAGAGATGGGAAAAAGTCTTGGAAAAGTGAAAAATGCCCTGGGAAAGGGAGAGAGCCTTGTTCTCTGGGTAGGGCCTGAACAATAAAGGAGAGAGAGGGCAACCTGGGCGCTGGGAAATTCATCTCTGATGAACGTAAGTTTTGCAATCAAAAAGGGTCGAAGGAAGCTAGTTTTATTTTAGGAAGCGTGCAAGTTCTGTGTCAATTCCTAAAATAACACTTTATTTTGGATTACACGGGGCAGGTGTGTGTGTGTGTGTGTTCCCCTCTCATGTTTTCCAGGCTTGTGGTGGCCAAGGTCTGAATTCCATCCTGGGCAGAACTTGCCTGGTAACGGAGCTCGCCCATCTTGCTCTCTTCTCCCCAGACTGAGCATGCTTCATTACCTCCTGTAGCCTCAGACGACAGCGTGTCCAGAAGTGCTCCAGGACCCCAGCTCCAGTCACCTGCTAAATGTCCCCTGACTTTGCCGGCATTTCCTAGTAACCTTCCCTGCCTCCTGAGTCATGGGGCTCATCAGAATCTCAGCTGTCAATCAGCACCTCTCCAAACACTGCCTCCTCCAGGAAGCCTCCCAGTTGGCCTCCTGCATGCCTGATCCTGTCCACAGCTCCTGGGCCTGCTTTGGAGCCTCCAGCCTCTCTCTCTGCTCTAGGCATTACTACCCTCCTCCTCTGAATGCCCCCTTCCTGCTCTTGCCACTCTCCACCAAACGTCTGGCTGCCAAGGGGCACGGAGTGTCCTCCATCAGCAAGTGTCAACGCTCTGGATTCACTGACTTCTAAAACCCACCCATCCTGGCTCATCCCACCTCCGTCAAAGCCCTCAATGCGACACAGAGCGGGGCTGAAACATGAGAAGGGGAAGGACAGATTTTCTGCTCTAGCCATCCTGGATTGCACTTTAAGATCCTCTTAGGGGAAGTAGCTTCTTTCCATTAAGACAGCTCTGTCTAAAGAGGGGAATTCCACAGCGCTATGTTAAACCAAAAGGGGGGAAATCTGGGGTGTAGGCAATTAGTGACTGTGATAATACTAGGTGCCATTTTTTTTTGCACACCTACTAGGCTCCAAGCTTTATACTCTTTGTCTAATTCCAATAACTCTATGTAGCAGGCATAGTTATCATCATGATGGATGCAACAAAATTAACAGCACTTAATATGCTAATCAGTTCACCTAGGTTGTCCCGAGAGGTAGGTGCCATTGCAATGCCCTTTTCCAATGAGGCAACCCAGGCACAGATCAGTTAAGCAACTAGCCACACAGTTATGGAGACAAGGAAGCTGAACTCCAGAGGAGTTAAGCGTTCAAAAAGAGACTGAGTGAATTCTGGGTCCCCTCCTCCCATGCTCATGACTGCTTCCCCCTGGGGCCAATAGGAAATTGCAGGTTGAAGTGAGGACAAAAGGTACCTGGAACTGGGATAGCTGGGACCTGGGTAGGAGTGTGTGCATGTGTGTGGGGGACTTCATTAGCCTCAGACTACAGCCCACCCTTTACCCAGAGGGTGTCCAGGATCGCAGCTCCTGCCAAATGTCCCCTGACTTTTGCCTTTCCTAGTAACCTTTCCCTGCCTCCTGAATCATCTGGCTCATCGGAATCTCAGCTATCATTCAGCACCTGTTCAAACGCTTCCTCCGGGAAGCCTCCCAGATGCCTCGACCCCCTCCCCATCTCTTCCCTCTCCTGCCTCTGCCTCTCCTTTGTGCATGCCACTTTTAAATATTCTCCTATACCCCTGAGATCTGTCTTCCCTCATAAATGTCAACCACGGAAAGGCAGAGCTCCTGGTTTGTTGTACTCTGTTGCAGCCCAGCGCTCGGTGAGCTCCGCGGGTGAGCTCCGGGATGGACCTGTGATGAATGAATCACCTCGAAGCCCCGCTTCCCGGTGCAGAGCTCAGACCCTGGGAGGCACTGAGGGTTCAAGACAGGAAGAGTGAAAGCCTTGGGTTACCTTTTAGGCCCCACACCGCCTGATCCCAGTTGCCCCAGGGGTCCGAGGGCGGGAGTGGAGCATGGGGTGGGGGTGACGTGGAGGGGGTCGTTACTCCATAGCCCTCCGCCCCCCCCCCCAGCCCTCCAACACTCTCATCATACACCCACCACGCGAGGAGTCGCGGGGACTAGGAGGGACCGGAGACCCCCGGACAAGGCCGGAGGAAAGGCCAGGGAGGTGGGAACGGTAACGTGGCAGGCAGCGACACCGGGCGCAGAGCGCGGCAGCGGGGAGGGACCCGGGACCGGGCTGCAGGCCGGGGTCGCCGATGCCCGCGGCCCCTCCCGCGGCGCCCGCTAAGCCGGGCGCTGCCTCCTCAGCACCGCGGCGCGGCCACCTGCGCAGCCACCGCGCCGCCCCGGCCGCGCTGCCATTGGTTCGCTAAAAATGCCTCTCTAATCCGCGCCGCCGGCCCCCGCCCTCCGCTCCCCGCCGCCCTCGGCTCCCCGCCGCCCGGGCTCTGACCTTCCTCCTTCCCCAGCCCCGGAGAGATCCCGGAGAGACGCGGTGGCGGCGGCAGCGCCACCTCCTCCTCCTCCCCCGGGAAGTCGTCCGGGCTTGAGGCCGGGCCCCAGACGCCCCGCTTCGCCCCGCGGCGCCACCGATGGTGCCCGGCGCTCCTGCCCCCAGGTAGGGGTCTGGCCCTGGGAGAGAGGCCAGGGGTGGCGGCGGCGGGTCTGGCTGCCGGATGCTGGTGGCGGCGGGCGCCGCGACTGACGTGTGGCTGGGCGGGAGTCGGGGGCGCGGGGTGCGTGGAGCAGGTACCTGGAGAGAGGTGGGCGCGCTGGGGATGCTTTGCAGCCGGGATGCGCGGGTATCACCCTGGCAGTGCCAGGATGTCCCCACTCTGGACCCCTCGGGAGAGGGAGCTGGTGGCGGAGGCCTTTGCCCTGGGGAGAGCTCAGGAAATAGCTTTCTTGGGCAGCGGGGGCCTCCTGGCCCCGGGGGCTGGGGCGTAGGGGGTGGTGATGTTTTTGGTACCAGCTGGGTGGGTGGGCTGGTGCCGGCTTGGTGCGTAGGCTATTTATGGATCAGAGTGGGCCGGGGAGAAACACAGCCGCTGATGCGCCCGCGCCTGTCTGGTTTAGATTACAGGTACTTCCTTCTGTCCTCCACCCCTTCCCCCACCAACGGGACGGGAGGGAGAAAGAGAGAGAAGGAGGTGAAGCTAAAAGGCCGGCGGATACCGCAGGAGCCTGGTCTGCTGGACTCTGCCCTTCTTCCGCCCCAGGCCGTGGGCTGCCTGTTGGAGCCGCGCTCTCTCCCTTGTTTTTGCGTTTTGCGAGGCTGAGGACAGATTACGGGGTCATGGGGACATGAGGAACGCTGTGGCAGACCCCAGAGCTTGGCCAGGTCCAGCTTCAAACCTGAGCTTTAAGCTCTGGCTGTCCTCTCCCCTCTGAAACCCAGCTCTGTACCCCGTGGGCAGTGACACAGGTAGCTGCTTTTTCTAGGTACAACCATAAATAACCCTTCTCGCCCAGGGGCCCTGGCACAGCTGGAGTGCAAACTGGACTGTCTCTCAATGATTTTGGAAGTCTCTCCCCCCTCCAGCCCTTCTTATCAAGTGTCCAAATCACTTCTCACCAGCCCCCCCCCCCCCCAGCTTCCCTGGTACCCCAGGTGAGGTCCTCCCTCCTGCCCTCTGCTCTGGACCCAGGCTGCCTGGAGGCTTCCTTATTTACGTCTTGACTGTGGTGCTCTGGACAGGAGTGCCTGCAGGCTAGGACTCTGATTCATCTCTGTCACCACTCTGCACCTGACCAGGGTTGGGCACCAAGTAAACCTTTGCAGAATGAATGAAAGGTGGAATGAATGGATGGGGACTCTGGGAAACAGTCGGTGACTGAAGGAGCAGGGTGAGCCCCCCTTGAACTTTCCTTACATTCCCCAGGACCAAAGAGCTACCCAAACCTGACAGTTTCATTTAACCCTTCCCAGCCCTGGGCCTGATGGGCAGCCATGGTTTTGGGAAAAAAGCGTTGCAAGCCTGCTAGTTCCAGAGATTCTGATCGGGCCGTGGTGTGAGGGCCCTTAGTGGTGGGCAGTCCTGCTCTCCTTGGGCCTCCTGATGGCACAGTCTTCCTGGGATGCTATGTTAAGACCAGAGTTCTTCACCTCTGTGGCAGCCCTGGAGCGAGAAATCCAGGTCAGCATCTAAGGACTGGGGAGGCTCAAGCCAGGGTATCCTCAGCTTTTGGGGTCCTCCCAGTGAGCTCTGGGCAAGTCTCATAGACCTGCCGTGTGGAGGAGCGGGGAAAGGGACTGCCACCAAGAATTCTGCCTCACCACAGGCCTGTGCCTGTGAAGGGCATCACCATCTGCAGAGCCCTTCCTGGCTCGTGCGGCTCCTTTGACAGCCCTGCAGTCTCCCTGATGTGACTGTGCTCCCCTCCCTGCCCCGGGCTCCCTCGGTCTCACCCTCCCTCCGTCTTCAGCTGCTCTGACCTGCTTTCAGCTCCTCCCCCAACCATGCTTCTCGCCTGCAGGCCTTTGCACAGGCTGCACCCTCATCTCCCGAGGATTCTTTTCCTTCCAGAAGCTTCTGCAGCTTGGGCTGGGAGCCCCAACCACAGAGCTCCTTTCCACAGCCTGCTCTCCTCTCCTGGGACCACTGCTGTCTCCCCCTGGGCTGTGGAGTCCATGGTGCGTGGTTCGTGTCCTGTTCCCCATGTCCCCAGGGCCAGGCACAGAGAAGCCCTAGCTTGTACTTGTGCAGCGAGTGACCACTGGTCTCTCCAGCCAATTTCAGGTCATATTTAGCAGTTTTCTCCCAATGGAAGATGAGGAGCCCCTTCCGAAATTTGCATGCACCCCCAGTAAGAATGAGTTGGTGGCCGAAAACCTCACTGGGGGAAGTAAAACTGACTGTGAGCCTGGCAGGACAGAAGGGACTGGAGGGGGGCATTAGGAGTGGGGGAGTTCACTGATTGCAGGGGGCCGGGGTACTCCCTCCAGGGGAAGCAGGTGGAGGGGCTGGGAGAAGTAAGCACACCAGAGAGGAGCCGGGCTGCTAGGTTTGGTTTTTCTTTCTTTTTTTTTTTTTTTTGTACCAGAGATTGAACCCAGGGGCACTTAACCACTGGGCCACATTCCAGCCTTTTTGTAATTTATTTAGAGACAGGGTCTTGATGAATTGCTTAGGGCCTTGCTAAGTTGCTGAGGATGGCTTTGAACTCAGGATCCTCCTGTCTCAGCCTCCTGAGCTTCTGGGATCGCAGGCGTGCATCACCGCACCCAGCAGACCTTGGCTAAGGTTTAAACATCACTTAATATTAAAATGCATGGTGGGTGTTGGGGTAGGCATGCCGAATAAACACTGAATGCACAGTTAAATTTCAAATAAATAAAAACATTTATTTTTGTTTTTTAGTATAAGTATATACTTATGCTATATACTTACATAAGTATATAGTACATGGGATATACCTGTACTAAAAAAAATTATTTGGGGTGTGTAGCTAGTGGCAGAGTTCAGGCTTGGCATGGTTGAGGCCCTGGGTTCAGTCCCCAGCACAAATAAAAAATTTGTCATTATCTGAAACTCGATTTACTAGGTGTCCTACATTTTTATTGACTTGGTCTGGCCACTCTAGGCTGGATGAGGAGGGGTGGAGAGAGAGGGAGAGCCAGTAAGGGTCCTAATTTTCTCTTCTTTTGTGTTGGGGGAGGGGTCAGTGGATGTTGCTTGAAGGCGACAATTTTAGAACATTAGCATGTGCATTTTTAGAAATTGGATGTTTTGAATTTTGCATCTGTGCGCTGTTTCTGAATGCTGCTTAGACAGTGTTCATACATTTGTGGATTTGGGCTCCCTAGCGCTGCTGAGGAATGATAAAATGATGGTCCTTCTCATTTATTTACGTGAGACGAAGGAGGCTTCAATGGTCAAAGATTGAGTCAGTAAATAATGCTAACCCATTTGAGAAATAAATGTTCTCATTTGAATCACATGCTGCTAACTTGGGTTTGGAGAGTTTTTAATCTGTGACTGGTTTCTAACTGGTCCCTTCTGGGCTTGTCCCCCCACCTCCCACCCAAAAGCTGTGGTGGGACAGTAAAGTGTGTGTCAGGGGGCTGCAGAAAGGAGCATGGGGAATGTGGGGTGTCCAGGGGACACAAAAGAGGGCTCAGGCAGCTGGGTATGGAGGCACACATCTGTAATCCCTGCAGCTTGGGAGGCTGAGGTAGAAGGATTGCAGTTTTGAAGCTAGCCTCAGCAATTTAGGCTGTAAGCAACCTAGTGAGACCCTGTCTCTAAATAAAAATTTAAAAATGGTTGAGGATGTGGATTAGTGAATATGTGATTTGGGGTTCAATTCCTGGTAGAAAACAAAAACAAAAACTTTACCCACATTTATTAACTCCGTATTCATAGTAACCTCATGAAGTTCCCCCCAGGCAGCTGAGGTTAAAGGGCTTGCCTGAGGTCACAGTAAGCACCTGACTGAGCCACAAGCCGCAGCTGTGCAGCGTGGCTCCTCCTCGGGGACCTCAGTGCTGTCAGACATCCATAGGTGGAGATGGTGGCTTGTCTCAGGGATTGGGGTCTATGTGCTCCAGAAACCCCGGTGGCTGTTCTGCAGGCGATGGGCCTGGGTTCAGAGGAACAGAAGGTGGCATTCCAGGCAGAGTGACCGCTGGGCGAAGTTGGCCTGAGAGAGTGGGCTCAGGGGCTGGGGAGGAGACTTGTGTGGGAACACAAGGAGGACGTGGCTAGGAGCCTGGCAGGACAACCAGTCTGGATTGCTGACGCTGGCATCTTAAATGGTCCACATCAGTGGACCTCCGGGGGCAGGTGGCCCAGGGCTCTCCCACTCCTCACAGGCATGGCACATACTCAGCTTGCTTGCCACCTCTGGGCTTCCCTGCCTGGGTGCACCCTGGGTCTGCCTGCATCTTGACCATCTGCCTTCAGACCAGAGAGGCAGCTGAGTGGTGCAGGGGTCTGGGGTCCAGGCTGAGATCCCAGCCCCGATATTTACTCACCATGGGGGCTTTGGGCCACTTAGCGCCTCTCTTGGATTCTGTTTCCTATTCTGTCTTTGATTTTTTTTTTCTTGTGCTAGGGATTGAATCCAGGTCCTCATGTACCTCTTATTTGTAATTTTTTTTATTATGGAAAAATATAAACATTTATAAACATAGTGTATAATTTCTATCTCCACTTCTCTTGCTCCCAATAATATTTCAAACCAAATCTCAGATATCATTTCACCTTAAATATATCTAGATATAAAGATACCTAAAAGATTAAGACTTTTTCTAACATAACCACAATCCATTATTGTATCTAGGAAGTAATAGTTTCTTCATATCATCCAATATTCACTTACTATTCACATTCCCTCCTGTCTCAGCCATGTCTTCGTGTGTGTGTGTGTGTGTGTGTGTGTGTTTCATTTAAGCTAAGATCCAAAGTCCACTCATTGTGATTGATTGCTTGATATGCTCTAGTCTCTTGCAATCTGTAGCTTTGTCTTCACTTTTTTTTTTTTTTTTTGGCACAAGGTATTGAACTCAGGGCACTCGACCGCTGAGCCACATCCCCAGCCCTATTTTGTATTTTATTTAGAGACAGGGTCTCACTGAGTTGCTTAGCCCCTTGCCATTGCTGAGGCTGGCTTTGA